GGTATTCCACTATGTGGCTGTTCCGTAACTTATCAGTCTCTTAAATTGCACCATTTTGGATGTTTCTGACCTTTTGTTAGTAATAAACAGTGCTTCAAGGATCATAACATTGAGTGTATCTACAAATAAAGTATATCTGTAGTCCATTAAAATTTTATAAAGTATTGCCAAACTGCACTTCAAAGAGGGTAAACTTATAACCCTATAAGCAATGTACGTATGTATGAATCTGCTTATTTCCCAGAATGGATAGTGTTCATTTAATAGTCAAACATATATTGAAAGCCTAATGTGTACCAGACACCATGCTAACTACTGGAAGATACAGAGATAAAAGACACAAACCTTGTCAAAAAGGAACTCATAATCCTGTTGGAGAAGACAGACAAATAGACAATTACAATACAGTACATTAAGTGCATTACAGAGGTACTCATGGAGTGCGACAGGAGCACACAGACAAGTGTCTAACTCAGACCCAGCAATTCACAAATTCATACGTTCACAAATAGTGAATGCTTGCAAGGAATTGTGTTGGGCTTTACAGATACAATGGTAAGCCCAAACTGACCTAATCCTGGGCCTCATGGAGCTTATTATAGTTCTGTGAAGGAGACAGACATTAATTGAAGAATTACACAATGTAGACCTGCAATGAGTAAGGTTGTCAAGGAAGGCTTCCTGGAGAAAGACACATCTGGACTGAGTTTTAAAGAATAAGCAGGTATTAGATGCTGATGGGGGAGAGAGGCAGTTGAAGGAGGCCAGGGAAAGAATACCAAGGAGGGCATTCTAGGCAGAGAAAGCATGTACAAAAAAGCATGCTTTCCCCAAACGTTTCAGTCCATATTTATAACAGGGACCTGGGAACCACATAATGCTGAAGCACAGGATGCCAGATGCAGACGGCTGGCAGGTAAGGGACTATGTCACAAAATGCCATGCTGACAAATCTGGGTAGGGCAATAAGACATACACAAAATTTGAGGATAATTAACACAATCACACCTTTATTTCATAACCATCTTTCTAAAGCAGTATGGTAGATGAATCAGAAGGGATTACAAGTTTAAAGGCAGAAAGCTCAGCTAGGACGCTATATCCAGCTGGTTATCTAAAGGGCCCAACTAAGTTCAGTATGTGCTAAGTCAGGGCTTGCCCATTCTAAACTGACTCTTAGAACCTGCCTCTTGTAGCACTATTTCCATGCATAAGATGTTCTGAGTTCCAACCGCTGATTCCAAGAATATGTCTCACACAGTACAAGTAATAAAAGTCCCCCTTTCGCAAACTTTCCAGTTCCAATTCATAACAGGCACTCTCTTGACAGCATCAGTAAGATTCTTGGGGAGACTTCCGGAGTGTGAGTCAGGGGGAAGGTAGGAGAAGGAACAGAATGTTTAGTGCTATTGAAGGGGCACATGATCTATTGGGAAATGGTAGAGGGGAGAGAGCTTGCGGAGGGTAGCAAAACGACTGAAGGCTGTAGAAGGAGCAGCAGCTCCAGCAGATGGCAGCAGCCGCTCCACCTGCTCCAGCAGCAGCCAAAGTCGTGAGGAGGGGAGGCAGGTTTCCCTCCCAATTTCCCACACAACCTATTAGTTTATCTGGATGAAGACATTCTTAAAGCAAGTGAGTGTCCATAAGGCATATAAAATCTATAGACATCCTTTCTTTTCTGCCTGTCGTCAAGAAGTACACACAACAGGAGTTCAGAACACCACTTAAAATAAAAAGTCTCCTTAGAACAGAGTAACTTGGACCCAAAAGTTCATTTAATTATCTTCCATATAACATGACAGCACATAATTAAACATCACTTATCTGCCTCGAGGATTTAAAATTCACTATTGGTATCAGTGGAGGCTGGAAGTATAGATGAAAGAGTGGCAGACTGTCTCCACAAACTCTGGAAGGATGGGCAGGGAATGATAACTCATACAAAGGATAATGGAAAGAAAGCAGCCAGGACAGAGATCTGGCAAACTATTAAAACGACAGAAAAGCAGGCAGCTAGAGAACAAACTATTTCAGACAGTTGTCTGATTTTCATTCACCCCTTTACGTTGTTGTTTTATCTTTAAAAAAAAAAAGACAAGGCCTAGGTATATTGGGTTGTCAAGAGAAATTATGCTTCAAGTTTCCAGACTTTCCAAAATGATGTTGCTACTGCTTTTTAAACTAATTTACTAGAGTTAACAGTCTATCTCCTAAGCATATAATAAAGACCAGTCTCACCTCTGGGCATGAAGGAAAAGATTTATGTAATGTGGGCTTGGCTAACAGAGGAAACCAGCAGTGACCACAGAAGAAGAGAAGGCCTGGAATAGGGAGGCTAGAGGAGGCTCAGAGTCCGGGCTGGCTGGGTACCAAAGAGGAGCCCTGGAGGAGGCTCAGCTGGCCATCATCTACTGCCATCATATCTGCACTGCAGTATGAATTTGGATGGAAAACAACATGGCAACCGAAGAGTGAAATTCCTCTCACTCACATTTACCAAGTGGCAAGTTCAAAGACTATTTCTGACCCAGAAAATGCTGACTGCTTTAACACAACCAGGATATGCATTTAATACTTTATGTAAAGCCAGGCAGCTCTAGTTTTAAGAGTTTATTGTATTAGTCACATTATGACTTGTTAAATATGTGTTTGTAGACAGTTTATTTTTTTATAGTTAAAAAATAGCAAAATGTAGCACAAACACTAGTGTAACTCAGGTCGAAATTGATTAGGTGTTTCATTGTCTTCTTTAGACTCCATTGTGGCGTTTATGACAAAAAGTGCAGGAGATATTTCTAGAGAGCTGAAGTTGGGGTTTTAGGAAGAATCAAGTGTTTGTACAAGTGACTGGCTTCCTATAGATCCCCAATGCCATCTAGAATCACACTTCTGTTCAGATCTAAAGAGTGTGCACATGAGGTATTTCTAATCCTTACCTGTGTTTCCTGACGCAAACTGGTATCTTCACTCTCTTTCTCAATTTCTTCCTTACTTGGAGTCTTAGAGATAAACTTGTTTTTGTTTACAGATTCTTCTACCAGTTTTTTTTCTGACTCTTTCATTATTTCCAGGGTCTCTTGAGTAGTGTTACTGTTAGACATCTTCTTCAATAGAATACAGCAGCCTCTATGGACTCCTAAAGAAACATCAAATGCATTAAAGAGGAGGTGTGTATCCTTACTTAACACACACACAAGACTTGTATTTCACATACAAGTCTTCCGCAGCTTCCCTGTAACCCAGAGAAAGGGTTTTTTTGACAAATGCTGCCCCTGGCTCTGTTTATTTTTCCTTTTTAAAAAAGGATTATTGAGGTAAAACTGACATACAATAAACTGTACATATTTAGAATGCACAATTTGATGAATTATGAAACATGCACACACCTGTGAAACCATCACCACAATCAAAACAGTAAATATACTCATCACCCTGCTCCTTTGTAAGCCCTTCCTCCCCTCCCCACCTTCTCCAGCCAACCACTGATTTGCTTTCTTTTTTTTTTTTTAGCTGAGCCATCCCGCCACCTGTTGGCAGCTCACGGCTGCTCAGCTCGGGCTGA